GTGTGAGTTGTTCTGATGAATTATCAAATTTGAGGGAATCCATGAAGATCTCCAAATGTGTAGCCAGCTGATCTTAAATGAGGGTGATCTAGTAGATCCTTGTGGAACTTTCAGCTGGTGTCAGAAGCCTTGGGCAAATTTGGCAATCTGAAGGACTGTTCCTTTAACCTTGAGTTTGGCTAACTCTGGGCAACTATACTGGCACAAATTTTAAAGTGTCATTATACATCCTAAGTGCAAATGAGGAAATGCATTAAATAAAATTCATGCTGGAAGAGCAAATTAATATTACTTTCAAGAATAATTTGGCATTATCTTGAAAAGTTGAACATTTATATGCCCTATGAACTAGAAATTCCACTTCTAGGTATTGATCCTAGAGAAATTTATACTTAGAAGCAACATAAAGATTTAAAAAATATTCATGGCAAATTTAGTTCAAAAGCCAAATTCCACTGAACCAAGGAACAGATATATAAATTGTGATACATTCACATAATACGGTAATATAGTACAATGAAAATTAATGAACCATAGTTACATGCAAAAACATGGATGAATCCTGTAATAATTATATTTGGTGAAAAAAATCAGATCAGAGAATGTTCCATATAATATGAAACCATTTTTATAATATTCAATAACAAAAAAATCCTACAGACTGAAAAAGGTCGAAGATGGTGGAATAGATAAAAGCTATGCCTATTGCATCCCAGGATCACACCAAAATTACAAATAAATTATAGAACAATCGACCTCAAGAATCAACTGAACACTAGCTGAACAGAACCCCTATAACTAAGAATATAAAGAAGAGGCCACATCAAGACTCGTAGGAGGGGGGGAATACGTGAAATGGGCTGACCCCAAACCCACAGATAGTGGCTAAACCCCAGGAGGGACACCTTGGTGGCAGAGGTCCCCCTGAAGAGGGAGAAGGTCACACCCCACACCAGACTCACCAGTCCAGAGGTCCTGTGCCAGGAAGAAACTTCCCACATCAGGCAGTAAAAATTATGTGGACTCTGTGTGCCCGTCTCAGTGAGATGGAAGGCGGCTGGAAACCCAGACGCCCTCTTATAGAACCCACACACAAACTCACTCACTTGCAAACACTCATCTCATCTCTGGTAGAGAGCAGGCAGCTCAGGAAGCCCAGAGACATGCGGGGAAAGGCTGAGTTATATGGCTTTGCGGCAAGGGCTGGAGAGACAGGAACCATTGTTGTCCCTATGTGGAGCCTGACACACGAGTAGCCTACAGGAGGGTGCCATCTTTTCAGTGCTGAGCACTCCCCCAAAGGGCTAAGTCTGGGACTGCACTGGTCTGGTGGAATCCACACGTGTGCACTGCTTTTGTGACACCCTGGATCGCTGCCCTCTGCATAGCTGGTCCTATATCGCCTGGGACATTCTTGACTGCTGGGCTGCTGGCCCCACTCCACAGGCTACAGAAGCCTTTTTACAGTGATGGACAGCTGGCAGTGGCCTGGAAAATGTTTGTTGGTAGGCAATGACCCAAGACATGTGCTGCAGCATCTCTTGGGCAACTCTCGAGAATTTGCGGGCCTGAGATGGGCGGTGGCAGGCCACGGTGTTCTCAGGGCATTTACGCAAGCTGGTCAAGGGCCTGGCACTGGCAAGGAAGCCAAGACTGCACTGACTTTGTATAAACCACTGACCACACCCCTTAGTTCCTTGGAACCCCACCTTGCCCACCTAGAGCAATGCCAGGGGCACTCTCCACGTCTGAAGGCCCAGCCCTGCCCCACAGTCATGGAAGCCTTTTACAGCAACAGATGTCTGCGACAGCCCAGGGTGGTTTTTGTGGTGGAGAGTGAACCAAAACCTGAACCACAGCCACTCTTGGGCAGCTCTCAGGGATTTGCGAGCCCAAGGCAAGCAATGGAGTACTGTGGTGTTCTAAGGGCATTTCACAAAGCACTGCCCTGAGGTGAGTGGTGGCTGGCTGCAATGGTCTCGGGGCATTGTGTGAAGTGGTTACAGGCCAGGCACTGGAGTAAGAACTGAATCTGCATTAACTTAGTAAAAACCACCAACCATGTCTCGTGATTCCCTGGGACTCCACATCACCCACCTAGCACTGCATTGCTGAGGGCACTCTCAAGACCAGGTCACACCTAAGGAGGCTCTTTCAAAGGCTGGGCCTTATGGGCAGCTGGCAACAGGCCTAGGGGCCCTGGGCCTTTTGCTAAGCTGCCTCAGGCCCACTACTGGTGGCAGCTGGCCTCGGTTCACAGCGATCCACTCCCACATGCCCCAGGTCCAGCACAGACAGCAGCCAAGAACATATAGCTTTGTGGCTCCTACCAGGTAGCCGTGGGCTGGTAACAGGTAAGGCTGAAATTGGCCTGCACAGGAGTACCTCTAAAGAGACACCAAAAACAACACACCCAGAAGCAAGCTTCAGATCACACCACAGTACTACCTGCTTAGCCTCACAAGCGGCACACCCAAAGGGGGCTCTCAACAGGCACAAGAGCCCAGAGGGGTAAATCCTTCTTGGAGGGGTCAGCTCACACAGCAGCTCATACACTGTGGGCATAACCAGTCCTTAGTCAGTTGGCCTGGGAGTCAATCCCATCCACTGATGAGCCAAAAGTAATCATGGCTCAACTACAACAGGAGAACACACACAACACACTCAAGGGACACTCCTGGAACACATGCACATGAGATTAGGGACACTGCCATTGGACCACACGGGACACATACTACATAAGGACACCCAGCAAAGAGTGAGGAACATAGGAGAGCTATGTAATACATAGAAGCAAACACAGAAAGGCAGCCAGAATGAGGAAACAAAGAAACATGTCCCAAATAAAAGAACAGGAGAAATCTCCAGAAATAGAACTAAATGAAATGGAGACAACTACCTACCAGAAACAGAGTTTAAAACACTGAACCCAAAGAGGCCAACACCAAAACACATCATAATTAAAATGCCAAAGGTTAAAGACAAAGAAAGAATCCTAAAAGCAGCAAGAGAAAGACACTTAGTTACTTACAAGGGAGTTCCCTAAGACTATCAGCTGATTTTGCAACAGAAACTTTGCAGGACAGAAGAGAGTGGCACAAAATATTCAAAGTGATGAAAAGCAAGAAACTACAACCAAGATTACTTTACCCAACAAGGCTATCATTTAGAATCGGATAAAGAGGTTCCCAGAGAAGAAAAAGGTCAAGGAGGTCATCATCACCAAACCAGTATTACAAGAAATGTTAAAAGGACTTCTTTAAGAAGAAGGAAAAAAAAGATCAAAAATAGGAATAATAAAATGATAACAACTGCCTATCTATCAAATGGATTAAATGATTTAATCAAAAGACATAGGGTGGCTGAATATATAAGAAAACAAGACCCATACATATACTGCCTACAAGAGGCCCACTTCAGATCTAAAGAAACACACAGACTGAAAGTAAAGGGTTGGAAAAAGTTCATGAAAATGGAAATGAAAAAAATGTTGGGGTATCAGTACTTATATCAGACAAAGTAGACTTTAAAACAAAGGACAATAACAAAAAACAAAGAAGGACCCAGCAATTCCACTTCTCGGTATTTATCTGAAGAAATCCAAAACACTAATTGTTGGGAGCCAATTGAGGACAGTTGGGGATACTGAGGCTGTGGCAAACTGCTACATGCCTCTATGCAGGACCCTATTCCTGAAGGAGTGGCTGGATAAGAGAGTCTGCTTAGTAACTGCATACACAAGGCTCAGACACCCACAAAAGAGAAACAATGATCCAGGACTTTCCACCATAGACTTGTTACAGTTTCTATCCCCATATGTAATCACTGCTTCTGTATGCAGTACAGTTTCTGTATGCCTATCCTTAAAACCCCGTGATAAAAAGGGAATTATTCCCTGATAAGAGGAAATTGTTTCCTATATAACCTGAGTGGATTGAATAAACGAGGTCTTAGTCTATTACCAGCAGGCTGAGGCCCTCCTGCTCCCAGCTTTTGTCTCTGTTCTCTTTCTTTCTCGTCTCCTACCCAATCCTCTCAGGTACCCTTTCGGTGAGCTCCTGGCTAATGAGTCAGGAGCACCCAGTGGGCAAGCTGGTCTCGTTCACTAATTTGAAAAGATGTATACATTATTTACAATTACCAAGATATGGAAGCAGCCTAAGTGTCCACTGACAGATGAATGGATAAACAAGAGATGGTACATATATACAATGGGATATTACGCAGCAATAAAGAAGAATAAAATCTTGCCATCTGCGACAACATGGATGGATCTAGAGGGTATTATGGTAAGTGACATAAGTCCAACAGAGAAAGACACATACCATATGATTTCACCTCTGTATGGAATCTGAAAAACAAAATAAATGAACAAGCCAAACAAACAAACTCACAGATACAGAGAACATTTTGAGGGTTGCCAGATGGCTTTGAAGAGGGTTGACAGATGGGTGAAAAAGGGGAAGGGATGAAGATGTGCAAATTGCCAGTTACAAAAACAGTCACAGGGATGTAAAAATATAGCATAGGGAATATAGTCATTCATATTGTAATAACTATGTAATGGTGTCAGATGGGTATTAGACTTATCGGGGTGATCACTTTACAAGTCATATAAATGTCTAATCACTATGTTGTACACCTGAAACTAATATAATATTGCATGTCAATTATAATTAAAAAATAAAAAATGTAAAAAAGTGAAAAAAAAAATTTTTAAGGGAAGAAGTGGATCCAAGTTATATGAAATAAGATGTATCCTCAAGAAAAAAGACTTTGAAAGGGGAGGGAATTATGACAGGTGAGTAGCACAGAGAGTACACGTGGTGGTAAAAGGGAGGGTCTTTATTTTTTTCCTGTATCTTAGGCCTTTTCTCTACAACCCTTTGTTGGGCCTTCAAAGAAGAGATTTCTCAATCATTACCTTTAAGGTGTGGCCTCCCTCACCAGCTGGGTTCTTAACTGCAGTGCCTTTCCCCATGTGTTCAATCCTTACTCACCTGGGCACCATCCTCTCGCCGTATTCCTCGAAACCATCCAGGGCTCTTTCCCTTGCTCCAATAAGGAAATCACATCAGGTTTGGAAACAGAGAGTCCTATTTTTAAGAAAAAATACGACATAATCATGCTATTCCTGAATTTAAACCCAGTCCTTAAGAAAACAGACAAGGACATAAAGAACAAGAGGAAGGTTCAAAGGTCTAAAGCATGGAGAAGATAAAGGTATCACAAAGAGCGCCCATCTCCTAATCTACAAAGCACAAATAATGCCCCAGGAAATAGAAATTCACCCAAACAATGGAAAGATACACCCAAAATTCACAAGGTATTTGAGGATAGGTGTGCTTACCTAGTAAGACTAGGTTGCTGTAGTTCTCCATCATTACGTCTTTGTACAAGTTCCTCTGAGCAGGGTCCAGATAGTCCCACTCCTCCTCAGAGAAGTCTACAGCCACATCCCTGAAAGTCACCAACTGCTGAAATGACAAAAACCAATGTAGTACTGTTAAAACTAAAGGAAATGTTTTTAAGACAAAAGAAGAGATAGAAAGACACTGAGGGATGGAGAAAATACACTGAGCAAATGGGTTAGTCCAGGGATAGGGCAGGAAAAAAAACTGCTATAACTAAAACAAAGTACCTCCATCTTGAATATTCCTGTTGCTGCAGACAAACCTTCTTCGTATAGTGAGACACTCTCATTATCCGATGGCTAAGGCTAAGAAAAAATAAAACACATTTATTTATTTAGTTTCCCAAATTAATGAAATCAAGTAGAAAATACTCAGCAACCTGTAGGCCTAGCACATTATATTTATTTTAATGATCATCCATGACTTACTAATATTTTTATTGAGGAAATTTTCAAACACATCGCAAAGTTGAAAAAATTTTATAGTGAACATCTGATATGCTAATTACTTAAAATAAACTCTTAAATGTGAGCTCCTCCCTTCACTTTTTTCTTACTTCTTAAAGGAAGACATAATCTTTCTAAAATATTTATCAAACAAATGAGCAAAACCTCTACTGCACAAAACAGGACTTTGGTATAATTAAAATGTACACTAAATACTAAGGATCTTCATTGTTAGACAAAATCATAAGCATTTTTCCATATAATGCAAGTTCTTTAATAAACTTTTTTTTTAACTGGTTCTATCTTTCATCTTAGGAAAGCAACACATAACCATTCCATTATTTTAAATATTTAGATTGAACAAGATCTCTGAGTTTCTTTACAGCTCTGAAAGTCTACAATTCTCAAAAACGTATGCATCTGGCTCATTTTACTTTTTAAATATTTCAAAACTGAAGCAAACCTAACAGTATATGGATATGCAGTAAAATAATTTTGAAAAGCAAGACAGCAATGACTACAAATTTTTCTTTACAGGTTCCTTTTCAGAGGGAAGGCAAGGTGCAAAAGCATCTTCACTAATCCGTCCTACTCTAGGTGTTAGGTACATGAGTGTTTTATTACTCTTTTGTAATATGAAACACTTCATGTCTTTTTTTGTTAGGGGGAACTCAAAAATTAAGGAAAAATAAGCAGGCTTGTGAAGATCAATTATCCCACTTAACAATAATTTCTACTTCATTAAACCACAACTCTGATAAAAGGAAGCTCTAACATTTCCCTCAGTGGAATGTATTTAGGCTCCATCACAAAGCGCTGCACACAAATGTGAACACTGTTAGAGAACAGTGGGACACTAAGGGACAAGGACTGCTGCTGAACCATCACTCACTCCCTGACTGAATGGGAGGTTATGGGATGAGTTGATAACAGGGTTCAGTTGGGCAAAAAAGTTTCTAGATAAAGAAAATAAATGTGCATGCAAATGACCAAAAAAAAAAAAGACACTATCCCGATAAAATAAATAAGTCACGGTGATGTATGGTGATGTATGTAGTCACACAGCATGGTGACTACAGTTAAACACTGTATTGCAGACTAGCAGCATGGCAGCACGAGGGAGTCTCTCCACGTTACAAGTTGGATGGCGATAATTCAACAAAGGATTCTCTGCTCAACACACAGACATGTCTGAGAGATCCATGCATTGAGACAACCGTAGGTGGTCATATCAGAGCAAACAGGGAAGACAAAACGGGAAGGTGGGGGGAAGGGGAACTCCAGACACAGTCAGGCACTTAATGCAGCCCCAGCAGAGGCAACAGGAGTGAGGGTTTGGGGTGCAATCCAAAGGGGCAGAGCCAGCAATTGAGCCTGGCTGGCTGGTATACACTGAAGCTGGGCCCGGGGTCAGGGGCAGAGCAGCGGTGCAGAGAGTCACAGCATTCCACAGCCTGCCAGCACCACGCAAAATATTTCCCAGATGGAGGTTCCTGACCACCCTATCCCCCTGTGACTCACCCAGAAGCAAAATCCTCACTCCGCAGATGGTGAAAGGGCTAAAAAAAGTTTCCAGCCTAACTGGTCTGTATTCAGTGGCTAAACCCACTGGAAAGAACAGAACCGTGGATGTGGGAACCCACTTCCACCTACTTACCCTTGCCCCACCCACAGCCTTGCAGCCTGGCAGAGGCAGCGGTCAACTAAGAGAGCAACTCTGCCAGCAGTTTCTGGGTACAGGAAGGCAGCACGGGGAACACAAAGGAGACTCACAGCCTACTTCCAATCCACAGGAGTGGTGCCCCAAGACTGAAGCGACAGGGGCATAAAGGGGATGCCCACCTCCTCGAAGAATATGGGGCATTTTCCACAGCCAAGGCAATACCACCCCACAGAAAAGCCCCAGCAGTGCAAGTAGAGACAATAAAAACTTGCACTTCAGCCCCAACTATTGGAAAATAAAAGACCTCTACTAAAACAGACATGTCACATACTTTGATAAAAAGCAGATTTTATCCCATAAATGCCTAGGCAGAGAAGTAACAAGGTAGCTCAGAAATAAAATGAAAAATCTCTAGAAAATAAACTTGAAGACACGGAAGTATGTGATTTAAATGACAGAGAATTGCAGTTTTGAAAAACTCAATGAAATACAAGAAAACTCAGAAAAGCAGTTTAATGAATTCAGAAATAAAATCAACAAAAGAAGTACTTTACCAAAAAGATTAAAACTATAAAAAAATAATCAAGCACAAATTCTGGAGCTGAAGAACTCTAATTAAAGAGACAAAGAATGGGGCCGACCCAGTGGCGTGATGGTTAAGAGCTGGCTTGGGATGCCAGAGGACCCTGGTTCGGATCCCACAAATGAGGGCCAGTGACACTGCCCTCTGCATCTAACAGCAGCTCAACCTGGACCTGGGCTGCCATGAGGCAACAGCGACGGCGACGGCGACGGCGAAGGCTGCAGCCCCTGTGGCAGTGGGTTGCCATGGGCTACCGTGTGTAGCCAGCAGCCAGCGTGAGCGGCCTTCCAGAAGCCGGCAACTGATCTACCTCACCCGGGAAGAGCGCAATGATGGTGCCAACTTGGGCCAGTGAAGCAACGTCCTCCACGGCTAGACTGAGGAACAAAGGACAGCAACTTGTCTGTTCCCATCCCCCAACTCCCCAATAAAAATCTTAAAAAAAAAACCTCCCCGGGCCGGCCGAGTGGCGCGATGGTTAAGAACTCGCTTGGGATGCCAGAGGGCCTCGGTTCGGATCCCACATGAGGGCCAGTGACACTGCCCTCTACAGCTAAGATGCTGAACAACAGCTCAACCTGGAGCTGGGCTGCCATGGGTCACCGGCGACGGCGTGGGCTGCAGTCCCTGTGGCAGTGGATTGCCATGGGCTACCGTGTGTGGCCAGCAGCCAGCGTGAGCGGCCAGCAGCCGCAGTGAGCGGCCGTCCAGAAGCCGGCGACTGATCTGCCTCGCCAGAGAAGAGCACAATGATGGTGCCAACTTGGGCCAGTGAAGCAACATCCTCCATAAGTAGATTGAAGAACAAAACGACAGCAACTTGTCTGTTCCCCTTTCCCCAATTCCCCAATAAAAAAATCTTAAAAAAAAAAAAACCTCCCCAAAAGTAAAAGACCAGGACCAGATGGCTTCACTAGTAAATTGTACCAAACATTCAAAGAACATTTAATACCTATCCTTCTCTTCCAAAAAATTAAAGAAGAGGCAATACTTCCTAATTCATTTTATCAAGCCAACATTACCCTGGTACAAAAACCTGGCAAGGACAACACAATAAAAGAAAATTACAGACCAATATCTCTGATGAACATTGATGCATAAATCCTAAACAAAGTACCAGCAAATCAAATACAACAACGAATAAAAAAATAATACATAACAATCATGTGGGGCTCATCTCAGGGGTGCAAGGATGGTTCAACATATGCAAATCAATACGATACACCACATTAACAAAATAAAGGATAAAAATCATATGATCATATTAACAGATGCAGAAAAAGCATCTGACAAGATACAACATCCACTTATGATTAGAACACTTAATAAAATGGGTATAGAATGAAAGTACCTCAACATAATAAAGGCCATGTATGAGAAACCCTCAGCTAAGATCATATTCAATGGTGAAAACTGAAAGCTTTTCCTTTAAAATCAAGAACAAGAAGAGGATGCCCTATCACCACTGTTATTCAATGTAGTATTGAAAGTCCTAGCCAGAGCAATCAGGCAAGAGAAAGAAATATAAGGCATCCAAATTGGGAACGAAAAGTCAAATGGTCACTTTTTGCAGATGATATAATTCTCTACATAAAGAACCCTAGGGCCGCTCGAGTGGCTCAGTTGGTTAAGAGCGCGAGCTCTGAGCAACAGGGTCACTGGTTCGAGTCCCACATGGGCCAGTGAGCTGTGCCCAAGCTGAGCTGCTGCTGAGCTGCCAACAGGCAGCAGGATAGCTCAGCTGTTGAGAGAACGTGCTCCTAACAACAAGGTTGCAAGTTTGACTCCCGCATGGGATGGTGGGCTATGCCCACCCATAACTAACATTGAACATGGCACCTTGAGCTGAGCTGCCCTGAACGGCTGACGGGCAGCTGGATGGCTCAATGGTTAGAGCATGTGCTCTTAGCAACAAGGTTCCCGGCTCAAGTCCCGCAAGGGATGGTAGGCTGTGCCCACCCGCAACTAAGATTGAACACGGCACCTTGAGTTGAGCGGCCGCAAGCTGCGGACAGGCAGCCGAATGGTGACTGGACTTGGAGCTGAGCTAGCTGCGCCCTCCACAACTAAGACTGAAGGGCAACAACTTGACTGTTCCCCTTCCCCAATTCCCCAACACTGTTCCCCTTCCCCAATTACCTTAAAAAAAAAATCTAAAAAAAAACAAACAAAAAAACCCCTAAAGACTCCTACAAAGACAATTAGAAACAATAAACAAATACACTAAAGTTGCAGAATACAAAATCAATGTATAAAATTCTGTGACATTCCTATATACTAACAATGAAGTACCAGAAAAAGAAATAATTTCATTTGCAATTGCAACAAAAATGATAAAATACCTAGTAATAAACTTAATAAAGGAAGTGAAGGACCTATACACTGAAAACTACAAGACATTGTTTTAAGAAATTGAATTAGATATGGAAATGGAAAGATATTCCGTGTTCATGAATTAGAAGAATCAACATAGTTAAAATGGCCATATTACCTAAAGCAATATATAGATTTAATGCAATCCCATCAAAATCCTAATCACATTTTTCAAAGATTTACAAAAAAACAAAAAACAAAAAAAAAATCATCAAATTTGTATGGAATCACAAAGACCCT